CCACATAATTAAATAGCATAGCAGTGGTTATGTTTCTGGGAGTTAAGTTTCTAGATGTTCCAAATTTCTTTGCAAAGTGAATGTATTAGTTTTTGATAGCTGCCATAAGAAATTACCAAAAACATAGTGGCCCAAAGTAATGCAAATTTATTATCTTATATTTCTGTAGTTCAGAAGTCCAACATGAGTCTCACTGGGCTAAAACCCAGGCATTGGAAGGGCTAGAGTCCTTCCTGGAAGCTATAGAAGGGAATTTGTTTCCTTGACTCTTCTAGCTTCCAGAGACACCAGCATTCCTGGGGTGCCCTTCCTCCATCTTCTCCAGTCAGCAACATAGCATCTCTCTGCCTCTGCCTCTGGTGTCACACCTCTTCCTCTGATTCCCTCTTCTGTCTCTCCCTTCCACTCTTAAGGGCTCTTGTGATTTCACTGGGCCCATCTGGACAATCTAGGATTATCTCCCCATTTTATATAGCAACCTTAATTCCATCTTCAATGCAATGAAACACAACATGTTCACAGGTTGTGGGGATTAAGACCTGCACATCATTGGGGGGTGGCATTATTCTGCCTACCACCATGATTATAAGAATTTATACACCCACTAGCAGCGCGAGTGTTTCTGCTGCTCCACATCCTTGGTAACATTTGGTCTTTAAGACATTGGTTTTTGCCAACTGATGGGTGTGAGATGATATCTGATTTTTTTGTTTTAATTTTCATTTCCTTAATTGCTTATGAGACTGAGCACTCTTTTTATATGTTTTCCTCTCCTGTGACTTGGCCATTCATATCCTTTGCCTATTTTCGATTGGGATGTTTGTGTTTTCTTATTGATTTGTAGAATTTACCTCTTTATTCTGGACACTAATTTTTTGTTTAAAAATTTTAAAGTTGCAATCTTAATGTAGTTGATTTTTAAAATTTATTTACTTTATGGTTTATGATTTTTTTTGTTATGGAGAAATCTTTCTTTTTCCCAAGTTCATAAAAATACTCTTCTATATTTTCTCCTAAAAGCATTATGGTTTTGTTTTTCACACTTGTCTTTAGCCCCTCTGGAATTTACTTTTGTACATATGAGGAAAGGATCAAAATATATACTTTGTGTATGCATATATAAACAATTGTCCCAGCCCCATTTATTGAGTAGTCAATTGTTTCCCTTCTGATTTGTGGTAACTCTTTCATATCTAAGGTTTCTCATGTGTCTGGGTCTGTTTCTGGGTACTTATCATACCTTTACCAATTATACATTTTCTTAATTTCAATAACTTTATAATAAATCATTACATCTCATAGGGCAAATTTCTTCACCTTCTACTTCAAATTCTTCTTGGCTCCTTTATATAAATTTTACCATTAGTTTGTTAACTTTCTTGAAAAACTAAGTTAGGATGTTGTTTTTTCACACTGAATATATAGACTAACTTGGGATTACCGACATCTTTGTGAAACTCAATCTTCCCATTCAAGAACATGATACAAATTTCCATCTATGTAGTTTTTTTTACGTCTTTCAATAAATACTTGTGGTATCAGCTGTGTCGTATGTATCTTTCATTAAATTGATTCCTAAGTATTCCATATTTGTTGTTGATATTGTAAGTGATGGTTTTTTTCCTAAGATATTTTCAATTTGTCGTCTGGTATTAAGAAAGCAATTGATTTTTGTATGTTGATCTTTCATCCAGCAAAACTTGTTCAAGTCTCTTATCAACAATCTGTCTTTAGAGTCTCTTAGATTTTCTGTATGTAGGTAATCAACTCGTAATCATTGATAATAGCTTTGTTTTTTCTTTCCATCCTTATTCCTTGTATTTCTGTCTTTTTCCTACTTTACTGGCTGGGACCTCCAATACTTTGATGAACAGAACCAGTGTCCACGGGAATCCTTTTGTTATTCCTGTTTGTAAAGAGTATATTTCTAAGAATTCACCATTATGTATGAATATGTTTCTATAGGTTTTTGGTATTTATGTTTTATTAAGTTCCATTAAGTTCCTGTCTGTTTCCTAGTTTGAACATGAATGAGTGCTGAATTTTATTAAATGATTTTTCTCCATCTGTTGACATGATCATATGATGTAACGGAAGAAATGTAATAAATTAATGCAGTAAATTAATAGATATTCTAATGTTTAATCAATCTTGCAGTCTTGGAAAAAACTCACCTTGGTTCTGATGTATTTTTATGTATATATTGCTGGGTTTGTTTGGCTAACATCTTATTTAGAGCTGTTGCATCTATGTTCTTAAATGAGACTGGCCTGCAATTTTCCTTTCTTGTACTGTCCTTGTCTCTTTTCAGTATCATACTTACTAGACATATAAAAAGAATTTAGCACATTCCTGCACACTCTGTTCTCAGAAGCAGTTTGTATAAGATGGGGATTACATCTTCCTTGAATGTTTGATAGAACCTGCTTATCAAATCTTTTGGACAATGCTTTATATATTTCATTATATTGAACTTTATATAGTTTAAGTTTCTGTATTTTTCAGCAGTTTTTTTTTGGCATTTGAATGATCACTTACGACCGGAGTGGACTTATCAGTTATGAGAGAGGTATGCTAAAATCTCCCTCCATGAGTATGGATTTGTCAATTTCTCCTTATAATTCTGTCAATCTTTGATATATATTTTTTAAAACTATGTTACTAGATAATTCTGAGAGATCTTGTTGGTAAAGTGTTTCTTTTATCGTAATTTAATTATTCTCTTTGCCTTAAAGTCTATTTTTTCCCCCCCAAAGCCCCAGTAGTTAGTTGTATGTCATAGATGCACATCCTTCTAGTTGCTGTACATGGGACGCGACCTCAGCATGGCCGGAGAAGCGGTACGTCGGTGCGCGCCCGGGATCCGAACCGGGGCGGTCAGCAGCGGAGCGTGTACACTTAACCACCAAGCCACGGGGCCGGCCCCTTAAAGTCTATTTTTGACTAATATTAATATAGCTATGCTATATATTTGGTATATTCTCCCCACCCCACTACCCTCTTTTAATACTTTAGACATTTATAGATTTCATGTTTTATGTGTGGTTCTTATAGTGACATGTAGCTTGGGATTTGAAAGATATACCTATCTGTCGACCTTTGTCTCTTAACTGCAAAGTTTGTTTCATTAATATTGATGGCAATTATTGGGATATTTGGATTTATTTTTACTACATTATGTTGTGCTTTTTATTTACCTTTGTCTATGCTTTTCTTCTCTCCATTATGGCTTTCTATTGATCAGGTCAGGGTTTTTTTTAATTCCCTCTATTCCTTCTATTTCCTTTTGATTTTGGTGGTTGTGCTTTAAAAGATAAACATTCTTAACTAACAAAGCAAAATTAATTAATTTCTCTATCACCTCTCTGAACAATGGAAGGATTTTAGAATACCTTACTGAACTTAAAGAGTACATTTTGGATTATTTCCTTAGATCTTTCTTCAGGTTCCTTAATATTCTCTTCAGCTTTGCCTACTTTGCCATTTAACCCATTCCTTGAGGGTTTTTAAAATTTTTGATTAACTTTTTTTTAAATTCTAGAAGTTGTATTTGGTTCTTTAAAAAGTCTACCTAGTCTTTTTCTTTTGACAATGTCTTTTTCTTTTTTCATGTTTCCAATTCCTTCTTGTAGATCTTAAATAATTTTAAACATTTATTTTCTAGTTTCTAGATGACATTTTAAATAAATGAAGTTCTTGGGGGAGAAGTGTCTAATCCTTTTTGGTTTCTGCTGATTCTGATTTATGGTGAGTTGTTTCCTCATATGTTTACATCTTTTTTACTGTGAATTTATTTTTACTGTGGCAGACAGTATACATTTGAATCTTGAACATTTGTGTGGGCAGGCCCAAAGTCACAAACTCTTAGCGACCCTGTGGAGTTCAGTCAGAGAGACAAGCTTACTTCTCACTTGCTTGTGCTGAGGCAGAGTGGGGCTGTGCCTATTGAAATCCCATGCGCAGCTCACTGAGGGTCCAGTTTTAGGCGCCGGTCTCACCTGTGACTCCTCAGCTGGCCTAAGCTTTGCCCCTACATGGTCATTAACACTTAGTTAATCGGGCCCTAATAACCTCCACCCCCTCCCCTCGCCTCCTGGGGAGCCCTAGCTGCAGCTCTTGGGCTCACCTTCTGATTTGGTTCCACCTCTGTCTTTGGCCCCTGGACACTTCCCTGACTTTACTGGGAGCTCATTTGTGCATTTAAAGTTTTTATTATTTTTATTATGTAAATAGATTTCTAGGTGTTTTGTGCGGGAGAGTTTTCAGCTTATACAGACCCCATATATTGGCAGAATTTACCCTAAATTTACTTAAAAATATGATCTTTAAGCCTAGTGAAATAATATAATTTCCACTTAATATCAGGTTATGAAAAGAAACATACCTAAAATCAGTTTATTCCTTTCCCCCAGCTCTTTCTCTTTTTAGGTTTACCAGTTTTGCCATATTGTTTGTCATTTAAAAAGTGTGTTTATAAAAGTATAGTTGCAATTCCAGAAGGATTCAAGATGAAATGACTCGGAATGGACTTGGCTTCTAGAGCCATAGAAATTCTTACTGTGTTGGTTTATCTTGGAATCAGAGAGTAACTTTCTCAGCTTAGACCTGTAAAACTATGTACAAAGGAAAAGTGAAAAAAAGTTTTCTGTACATAAAGGGTGTGAAATAACAAAAGCACACACAAATGCTGAAATGATGCTCTTGCTTCACACCTCTACGCCTGCTATTTCTCCCCCTAACCCGCCTCCCGCCCTTTCATCCCTCAGGGCTACCAGTTCCAGTTACAACAGCCAGTCCTCAGAGGACAGTCGCAGCCCCGTTCTCCCCCCTCTTTCCCCTCTGACCCTCCTCCAATTAATCTGCAGTGTAAACTTTTGCGCTTTACTATTGTGCAACGTCCACGTTTCCCTCGCCCTCCCCGCCAGCCCCCGCCCCCCAAATCCAGGGGAACTCCCGTTACCGCAGTGCCACCGGCATTACTCATTCATCCCCATTCAGACTCTCCCAGCGTTTATTAAGGGCTCTCGCCTCCTGCGTCTCACTCGCCTCGCTCCTTCTCCGCTCACTGGAGAGCCTCTGGCCTCGTCCCCTCCCGCCAGCTGTGGGAAGAACTTCGTCTCTCCAGCAATGCTCCTCGCTGCGATTCTGTTTTGCGCTCTCTGGTCTGCAGTGTCCGCCGAGAACTCGGACGATTATGAGCTCATGTATGTGAATCTGGACAACGAAATAGACAATGGACTCCATCCCACTGAGGACCGTAAGTTCATTTTAACTGTTTCTCTGCTAACCCTAATTACATATCCACCTCTTTGGGTCTAAATAGTATACATATACTTCGTAGCCAATGAAATAAGCTAAAAATTAAAGTTTCGCAAAAGAGAGAAGCACTTTAGGAAAGCGGGAGGTTTCAAAAAGTTGTTTCTGTCACAGATACACAATAGGTTGAACTGTATGAAATCGCCGATGTTTGCCTCTTCTGAGCTATGGCAATTTCATAAGAGTTCAACTAAATATATACCTGCATGAATGGTTTCTGTCATTCTCAAGATATTTATACGCTGTTTTTCGGAAGCGTCCTTAAGGGGAAGGGGGGTGCTGGGGATGGTCTGTGAATTGGGACCGCCGAGGGAGGTCAGCTTTTTACAAAGCACACCCAAGGAAGGCCTGGGCGGGTCGGTAACGTGTGTTGTGTCCCGCGCTCTAGCCACGCCGTGCGACTGCCGTCGGGAGCACTCGGAGTGGGACAAGCTCTTCACCATGCTGGAGAACTCGCAGATGAGGGAGGGCATGCTGCTGCAGGCCACCGACGACGTCCTCCGGGGCGAGCTGCAGAGGCTGCGGGCGGAGCTGGGCCGGCTGGCCGGCAGCCTGGCGG